TTTGGCTGATTTGTATTGATCAACAATGAGGCATTTATTGCAGTAGGAAAAAGAGTTGTCACCGCAGCAAAGATGATTGTGTGTCTACTTGATGGCGACGAAGTAGAATGATGATCAAATCTCCACCTTGACTTTGTGGTTTTTCACTCGAAAGTAGAGACCGACCTCTTTCTATAGATGAGCGCTCATTTTGGTCTTCTGATGAGCATATTCTTGTGCGTCATCTCAATTTTCTTCTCATAATCAAGCATGACAAGCATCGGGAGTGGCGAATGGTGAAGGTTTCGGGTAAACTCGACATGAGGCAAGAACTTCTACACGACATGTTTTATTGAAAAACCCAAATGTTCCATCTTTTAATCCAAATCCTTCCCAAAATCATCCAATTCAAAGTCCAACCCTAACTTGATCCGAACCGTTCAAGGCTTGGATCAAACCTAGACCATACTCATTGCTTCAAACGAATATAGTTCAGATTTTGGAAATGTATATCCGATGCAGATTTTTGACCCACTTTGCAACGACCTCCTTCAATTCCGTTGTGACACATGTCGACGTCTGCTGATGACACGTCAACGTTGTGCGCAGTCATGTCATTCAACTTGTTCCGACAAATCATTCCATCAAGTGATCATCTAGTGCAGCCACGTCAATACTAAAACACGTGAGGCATTGCCACATGTTGCTGTGACATGGCAGGTTATGACACGTGACCGTGATAGGTGGTAGCCACTTGACGGTTCCAAGACTAGCAGTAAGTCGCATTCAAATCAGCGATGGTCACTTGATGCGAACGACATGCGAAGCACTTCATGTAGGTGCAAACAACACTTGTGGCTTAACATGTAGGATGACATCACGGGAAGCTAGGTCATGGCACGTTGGACAATCTGGGCAAGCCTAGTCAATTTTGAAAATATTTTCTCAAAATTTTACGTTTGTTGGAAAGATTTTGTTTGTAAAGAATATTTCATTCGAAAGAATATTTTGTTTGCAACTATTTTGTCTCACAAAATATTCGTCAAAATATAGGAAAATTGAGTATCATGAGAAAGCTCTTGACACGACTAGCATTTCTAGATGTTTTTTGAGAGCAAAAAGATGACTCACAATCAAGAAATTGCCGTGGAAGAAATCGTTGCAAAAACAAACATGTTTACATTGATTGTGATTCATGACTAAGCATGAATCAGGGCTAGCAACAATTTGCAGATTGTTGAAATCAAGATGATGAAATATATGTCAAGGAGGTATCCATGCAAGGAAGTAAAATTTGCTTAGATGTAGATAACTTGAGAGTAAGACAATGGCTTATTGGAATGTGGCAAAAGTTACCCATTAAGAAAAAATTGTACTTTAAAGGTCAAAGGCGCAATTTTCATTCCGTAGACAAATGTTGCTAACCTTGATTGGTGTAATGTTGAATACTAGACAACAAGATCTTAGTATATAATTCTTGAGAGGAAGAGATCTGGATTTAGAGGTGGGAGGAAGAGATTCCAATCTACGGAAGAGAGTGAGTTATTGGAAACGTGGCAAGAGGTACCACATGAAAAAAGATTGCAGTGTCAATGTCAAAGACACTATTCCTCCTCCATTGATTAATGATATAGAGGACTTTGATCTCGTGGATGACAATCTTCTAGATCACGACCTATGATGCTTAGAGGTTCTTGTTAGTAAGGATGTTTCTTTCATTGAACCTAGATCATTGAAAGAGGAGTAGAGAATCCAAGGTCTGTGTATTGACAAAGAAAAATCTCCGCTCACAGATATGATTGTGACAAAATTTAATCATTATGTGATTAATGAACAAAAAAGTGGCATCGGTGTTGACGAAGTGCCAAAATGTGATGGCCGTAGAAGACTGTGTCATGGAGCTAACAAGTAAAAATTTCTGCTCACGTATATGATTGTGAGGGAGTTTGATCATTATGTGATTAATGATCAAGATGAACATGATTACTTGTGGAGTTCTAAAGTGTAACATGTGTTTTTTGATGTAGCCAACAACTTTACCATGGAGATGGAAATGGACACAAAGTGTGATCAATCTTCATTGTGTTAGCCCAACTGCTCTACATTTGGTTTGGAACCAAATTATGAATGGTAAAGTGAAGTATAACGACGTCATGCCTTTTTATTAGACAAATCTAGTTTGATAACTTGATTGAGCTAATCTAGACTGAAGGTAAATTTTGATAATTGAACTTGTCAAGATTGATGGTAAAATCTCATAAAATGATTGAACTAGTCGAGATTGACATTAAATTCTCACGATTGAGCTAGTCAAGACTAACTGTAAACATTAGGCTAGTCAAGAGACAAAGTAATTAAAAAAATGATAGTTTAAATGGAAAACGTCACTAATTCATGCCTTCAATCTCAACAGTAATATTCTTTTCAACATCTTTTATAAAGGTTATATTTAACATATTTATCAATATGCATTGGATTGAATTGACTTTATCTAATATGCATAAACTCTTTTGTAGTGACTGAATCATCCTTTGAAATAGTACACATTTGTAATGTTGCCAAAAATGAATGTTGATTTGCATGTATATATGTTGAATGAGTGTATGTGATCATGCAAGAATCCAGGTTGTTATATTTAGGCTACGAGGAGTATTTTGTGTTATGATATTTGTTTTGGTTATGTGGACACTTTACCAACGTGGTTGTTCGTGTACTGGCTATTATTTTGGAAGGTATTGGAATCTAGAGTGTTGCAAACTTTTATGCTAGCTAACATCAAAACTAGATGGATATGCGTAATGATGGTGGGTTTGGATGGTTTTCATCTTTGCAGTTCATGTGATGATTCTGATGAGGGTCCAATTCGTTTTGTATAGTCACTTGCAGATGGGGATGTGATGCAAGCCGTGAACCTAGCCTCACAAACCTGTACAGTTTATGAGTGTATGGGGTTGGAAACATACCACAATCATAGCTCTTTTGCATTTCCATCTTTATTTGGGTCATAAATAATGAGTAGCCACGTTATCACGTATCTAACAAGGCTTCACCACGAGCTCAGATAATCGTTCACGCGGTTCAAGGTTGAGATCTTGATGTGCGAGCGGCTTACACCGAAGACTCATGACCACTTCGCTGCTCTCCACAGCTACAGTTGGGCACTGGAGTGCACTCCGGTCGTGAATATGTGCAAAACCTCTGTTAACCAAAAGTGCTTTCGAGGGTTCCTGCGGCATCCAGCTTGGAATTCGTCAGCTCCCACAGGGCAGACTTCGTCCCTCCACGGTCGTATTGCTTGGAGACTTTCTTTGCCGGTGGCAACCCTAAACCTCAAATCTTGTCCAATTCGGCATGTAGTTTAACGATTTCGCTTGACGAAATTTGGCGACGGCTGCACATGCTCAAATACACCCTTATCTACACGTTCGGAGTCTTGACGATGATTCACGCCGCAAGTACATCCGCACTATTCGTTTGGCTTGAGTTGTCGGTTTGCACGCGATAAGTTATGACGGAACGATCTACAATTCCCCAAAACTATCGACTAAGCAGTTTTCGTAAGCAAAGGTTCCTTGACAATTCTCGGATACAGCAACTCACGCTCAACTTTTCTGCTGCACTTCCGTCCGGAGAGGCTTTACATCACAGTACGAGCTTGGGCTTCTGCTTTAGCAGGATCTACATCTTATGTATCTTGTGTACGGAGAAATCAAAACAATTCGGTATGGGATGGGATTTGACTCGATCCACCAGCTTCGCCAGCCTCTGAAAGCTGACGCGCTTCTGAAGACATCATCACAACGTGTAGGTGTACTGGTGCATGGAAAATTTTCAGGATCTATCAAACGATCGCAATGATTTATATGAAACCCTTGAAAATGATGCGCAGCGGGCTCCACCGTGAAAGTTGGAGGGTAGACGACGGGTTCACGTCGACTGCACTGTCGGAAAATCCGCCATGAATTCGTACGACAAAATCTTCGCATCACAGGATAGCAGAAAACCGGCCTTCGCATCGATGACACGTGTAAAGTGTCTGCAGGCTACTTGGTGTCCTCCTGCCTATTCTCAACGTGCGCTTCAACACAAGGGGACAAACACACACAGAATGGAATCCTAGGAGCTCTACTAATGCCGGAGACGGGATTATTGTTGGGTTTGAGTGAGTGAGCGAACTCCTTGCTGCGCACAGAGATCGACATTACAGAGAACCACGAGGCAAGCAGACTTTTGGCAGAGAGAAGTACAATGACGCATCCACTACCTTTCTAGAGTTCTACTCTCCGCCTATGACAATCGTCCGTGCGGTCGAGCATCGACCATTCCGAGAGTCCAGGGTCCGAACCCATGTGCAGCTCTGAAACATGGATGCAGGAGGGGGCCCACTGCCACTGCTACCTGTCTTCGAGAGCGAACGGGTTCCTAGGATTCTACTCTTACATGAAGAAGGGCTTGCAGGTCTAGTCGACGTCCACAGAAGCTGATGCTAGACGGTCCCTGTCATGGGCAACGATCTTGATTATGATCGTGTTGCGTCGGGCTGGTAAGGAAACGCTGAGAACTCTCCTGTAGGAGCAGATACCTACAGATCTCCTAACAAGGGCAGCTTCAGCCATAACGCAGCGTAGGCGTGGATAGACTAGGCAGACGCCTCGAAGAGGCATCTTCTACGATGGGAATGTGACTGGACAACCTCTATATTCTGCAGAGAAACAATAACCTTCAAGACAGGGGAAGTCATCAATATAATCATGCCTGCGGGACTTAACTGACTGCACTAGACTATGGCAACCACAACACAAGTGACATCCATGACTCTAAACAGGACCGGCTGCACGTTGACCGTCTATAGTCATTGGCGCGGTCCTGCCCTTCAATCATTTCTGCGGAAAGAAACCATACAGTAGCTCTTGATTCATGTGCGTAAAATATTAAGCTTTCCTACCGTCGAATTCCTAGCAGTCTATTAAATATCAAACATTGTCATCCGCTATGCCACTAGGTTGGCCGGGAAAATCAATTGCTGCAAGGAAATATCATCTTCACAACATCAAGTACATCATGATTGCTTTCAGCGTTCTGTCCTGGTGACTTGTGACCACAAAAAAAGTACCCGCGGTTGAATCTCCATGTACTTGCCCAACACTGACAGGCTCGGCGCTTCCGGACGCCTCTTTAAAGTAGAGCTAGTAACCTAAGAAACAATAACAAGCTCAGGGTCTAAGTAGTCACCACAAAGCGCATAGGTCAAAAGCTTTGTACAACCCAAGAAAGAGTTTCCCATCCATGGCCCGGCTCTTCACCCCATAGCTCAGTTCTGCTCACATGCATACCAGATACACAAACAACCATCGAGCATATTCCTTAGATCTCAACTTGTGGCTGCAAGGAAAATTCAATGACATACTCAAGTCCGGTGAAGAGCCTATTGGCACAAAGTGGAGTGACTGTCGATTAGAACTCAGGCAACGGAAAAATTCCCACATATCTTACTCAGAGTACACCAATCGCATTCAACTGTTCAATACTCTGCTTGTTTATACACATCACTATAAATACTTTCAACTCTTGCCAATGCAGCACAGAATTGCTTGCCAGAATTTTCCTACATGGGAAGTAAATGGTTTTCTTTAAAACATGGTGGCTCAAATCTGCCGAGACAGTCAGTGAGGAGCCTTGGGTAAACGCTTGGTAGCTCGGAAGCTAATGTGGCCTCCTCCCATAATTGGGTAGATTAAGGTTAGTGAATTCTTGCACAACCACTGCGAAAACAAGAAATCTGAGGTCTCAAAAGCAACTATAAGCTAAGGGAGAAGGACCAACACAAGATCCACCCAAGCAAATTGCAATAAGAACGTAAAAACCTGTGCGGTGAAAACAATGGGTTCTCTGCTAGAGTAATACATGATGTAGAGAAGCTGTTGAGAGGGGAGATTGTAGGACCATACAAAAGCATTATTGCGACCTCGTGTTAGACCTTGGGGTAACCCCATGTAGCAACTTAGTGAAGCCAATAAAACTCAATTTTCCGTCTGAATGTCTGACCCATTCGTGCAGTACAACTTGCGCAGGAACTGTAGGTCCGAGTCCTACTTCCTGCAAACACATACATGAAGCAATTGTCAGAAAAGCAGATGATGATGTCCATTTCCTTAAACAACGGTAACCTACTTGCTCGAAAACCATACCAGCCGCTTTCTTCGAGACAACGGTACATAGAGCTTCAGAAAATATACCCGAGCAAGTTCTTCGATAGCAACAACACGATTGCCTTCGCTCTCAAAATACTCGTAGGCCTGTCGAGCATGCTGCTCCCATCGATCTGTCCCCTCAAGCTGATGTACACTAATTGATGCGGCACAGAATTCTTGGAAGTCCATTTTCTTGAACGTCAGTGCATCCATCTGAACATAAGATTGGTACTAGTCAGATTACAAGAGAAGTCCCATTACGCATGTAGAGAGATCACAAGCCATTCAAACGAGTCCATTACACATTAAAGCAAATCTCTAACCGACAGCCCTAGGAGATGTTACACGACCCCGTGTCCCATTGGACTGGGACACGGGGCCGCGTAAAACGTAGACAGTGAGACTTACTGTGGTCAGCACTTCGAAAACTCTCGATTCTTTCATGGCTTCCGTTGCATTTTTCAAAAGTGCCTGTCGGACAGCAAGTTGGGGTCAGGAACCTAGTTCCGCTATTTGCGTCAAGAATAATACAGCACGGAGTGCCAAGGTCCAAGTTTCAGGTGACCACTTCACTCCGTTGTGACCTACTCTAGATGTCAAAAGTCATGAGCCAAATCGCTGCACAGAGCGCAAATGGCCGAAGTGAGATTAAAACTCACCGTTCTAAAATTCTCATAAGAGATTCGACCATTCCGGTTAGGCTCAAGCAAAATAAACTGGGCCCGAAGGTAGATCAATTCATCTTCAGTTAAAGTCTTCGACAGCGCCTGCAAAAACCAGATCAAAGCGTTCAACAGACGACATATCTTAATCGCCAGGATTTCCAGGTACTAAGCTTGGAGGTGTAGGGGTAAAAGCAGCACATCACGGAGACGTCTGTAGGATCGCAATACTTGAACCTGAGATTCTAAGTTAGTCCCTTAACCGCCATTGCCTTTCAGCGCTGAATTGATTCGTTGGAGTAAAACCTACCCTTAGAGCAGCTCGCTTCATAGACGAAGCCCGAAGATAAGATCTGACTAGTTTGTACACCAATATATCTAAGGGGATTTTGTTGTTGTCATCTCGGATCCACGGATGTGCTGCACAGCCATTCAAGCACGGTAACGTCAGACTAACTCTCGACGGAATGTCCCACCCATGAGAAACGTTTGTAGCGAGGGGTGCGGTGGACTCCTTGCAATATGCTTTGAAAACGCTTCAAGGAATTCAAAACTGAATAGGTCCCGGCTTAAATCAAGCATGTCCCCGGTTCTCCACAGTACATGGACACATGCCAACAGTTCAACTCATCTCTCCAAAGAAACTACAGCTATCCATATAATTCCTGACAAGCAGCTCACGCCAACAGTGCAGAATCTGCGGAACATCAGGAGGTAGTCGAGACGAGATCCATACTTAAAGCCTGAGCTGCAGTCATCCGTCTTCTCAGATCCTTGTTGAGGAGCCGCTTCACGAAGTCTTTTGCCTCGGGTGACACGGATGGCCACGGCACTTCATCAAAACTAGGATCTGCACGAAGTACTGCTCGGAATATTCCAGATTCTGTGCGAGCCCAGAAAGGGCGACTTCCACACAGCAAAATGTAGGTTATCACTCCAATGCTCCAGACATCCGCCTCCATACTATACGACCTATGAAGGACTTCCGGAGCAACGTAGTAGGCACTACCTACTATGTCTGTCAATCTCTCATCTGCACACATACCATGGTACCGTAAGAAATGTGACAAGCCGTAAGTAGAATGGTAAATACTTCAGAAAACCTAGAGTAGGCTGTGTTAACACAGTGCAGAATTCGTACTGTCATCGATGCAGCTGGATATATACCAGGTTTGATGAAGTCGGACAATCCGAAATCGATGGCCTTCAGCGGTGCGCTCTCGTCTTTTGTTGTGAAGAGGAAATTCTGATTTGAGCAACATTCCAGTTTCAGTAGAGGTACACAAAAATACTTGTGCCACAGCCTAATGTTAAGGGAGCTCGTTTCTTAGGGATAACGCAAGATGTACAGCTCAAAATAGTAACACAGACGCATTACAGTTAGGCCATCAGAAAATTCAAATGTTCATGCGGTTCGTTTCAAGTGCAGGAATAGGGCAAGAAGAACAGGGAGTAACCTCGTACGTCAAACAACCAAAAAAAATCGTATTGCGGTACCCACAGAGAGGACAATACCTCTGGTTTGAGATCACGGTGGACAACTCCTTGAAGATGACAGAAGGCCACGATACTCAGTATTTGGCTGACAACCACCTTTGCGTCTTCCTCTGAGTATCTACCTCCCCTGTTTGCATAATACGCATTACGTAGAACTTTAGAAAAACAAAATTAGCTTCAAGCTCAACCTAATGATACAAGATGATGCAAAAGTAACCAGCCAACGATGCAATGACCAGCCAACGAAGAATGTTTACCTTGAAAGAATACGATCAAGTAGTTCACCACCTTCACATAACCTGAGCACATATCGAGCCCACTTTGGTTAATTACAGCATGGACCCTCAGAGGAATTATAAAATGTGCATGTGTCGTGTGCAGGCACAAAGTGCATGCAAAGGCTGCGTGTACGAATGGGGAGGGGCTGCAGAAACTGCATAAAACCTTGGTACATAGCAGAACTGGATAGGATGGAAAAATACTTGTCACTCGTCCGTTCAACAAGAAAATCGTAAATGACGCCCAACAAGCATGATCCCAGGTATTGAAAAAAGAGAACGTACTCCATGACAATGTATACATTCAGGTTGTCCTCGCAGGCATCGTAGAAGCGGACCAAATTGTGGTGGCCAGTCAACGCTTTCAGAATCTTCACCTCCCTGCGCACGTCCTCGATAGCAATCGCTGTGGTCATCTGGCAGGACACAAACATTGCAGTGTTAGGTCAGCCGCTGAAAGCACAGAGTGACGTTCAGACGCTTGAACTAAGCTCGAGCAATCTCGAGTTAGACTGGGCAAGTCCGCCCACGCGATTACTGCTAGATGTGAAATCCAGCAGGATGACCTTGATTGAAAATTTGCTTAAGAGATCAAACGATGAACTCTCGTGGATTTAAGGCGCCAAGTTTCGACTTCAGGCTGGAAGCTCTAATGGCTTCCTTAAACCACAATCCGTCCACTCAAAAATCCATCATGAGCACTGGAATTGTGCAGAGTGCAGCGACTCGAGAAACTGCACACCGACCCAGGCTAGAGATCGCCCAGGTCGTCTTCCATTCGAAGTTCCGACTAAGTTTAAAAGTGTACCAGGAGTTTCCTTAAACATCAATCCATGGAAAAAGAATAAATCTGAAGACTCATTATGACAAAGCTGACAAGCCTGGAGAAAATAAACACTTCTCCAGGGCACCACGCTTCCTGCCTTGATAGCAATCCAGATTCAGCGGAAGTTTCTTCGCAGCATTTTAGGATCGGATTTTCAAGACTCCAGAACAACATTGCCCGATAACGACAAATGTGATGGATCATCTTCGTAGGCAGAGTACTCACGAGGCAGATGCATATCCAACCAGAACCATACTACACTGTGTGAGTGCGCAAGGAGGTGTAATAGCTGCCGTCTCGAGGAAACCAGCGGCATCTGATCTTACATACAGGATAAGTGGAGAAGACGAAGAAGACCAATCAATTACCTTAGCCTTCGAGATGATTTTCACAGCAACAGGCTGGCCTTTGAGCTCCCCTTTCCTGACCTTCGCCAGGCATGTGTGACCGAAGTGCCCACGCCCGACCTCGTGACCGAGCTCATACTTGGCGGAGAAGTTCTTCGCGTATCCAAAAACTTTGTCGAGAGGCTTTTCGCTCTCGGTGGTTTCTTGAACGACTCCTTCCTTGGGTTTGGAAGTGCCTTGCCTCTTGGCTAGAGAAGACTGGATGTGTTTGGCAGGAGAGGGAGGAGGAAAGGGCTTTCTGAAGAGCCGGCGGGGTGTCGAAGGTGCAGGCGAGGCAGGGAAATTAGGAAGTGGGCTGGCAGGAACAGGAGAGTTGGCACCAGACGAGAATTTGGGGTGGAACGGAGAGACCCCTCCATTTACATAGGTACGAACCTTGGACTTGGGCTCGGGTTGTTTAGTCAGTGGCTGCTTGGCATCATCGCACTTACCGTAGCACTGGCCCATCGCATTACGGGCCCTTCGTCACCTACGAAGAGTTCCTAGATTTCGAAGTGAATGTGACCTGCTGTTTGCTCATTGTCTACTGCTCGGCATTGTATGCTAGTCATGCGAAGAAGGGGCAAACTTGCGGATCAAGAGCACGGAAGGACAGATCGCGCTAGAGTCCGACAGGCCATAAACTTTCTAACAGGAGACCATGAACATTGAAGTCACCGGATGTGAGAGCTATGAAAGGAGGCCTAACTCCACAACAGTCAAATTTCCCTTCGATGGAAAACCAATCACCCCAAAAAAGTCCAAGATCAGCCCTTTATGACTCTCCTGCTCACAATATCCTCTGTTCATGCAGTGCACCTGTCGATGCGTACCACCGCCACTACCACTCCTGCGCTGCTGCGTCTGCTGCTGCCGCTGCAACAGAGAGACGGACGACCTCAGGCCCTCAATACAATCCTCACTGCAATTACTCCCATTCATCTAAGACTAAGCTCGCACGCCGGGGTTCCCACCGACGAAGGCCATGCTCTAACTCCAAGCTCCTCCTGACTCCAATCCCAAACGCCTCCAATTGGTCCTCCCCTTGGCTCCGCCTCAAGCCGGCTCCACTTCTCGGCCCTCGGCGATTGACGCGGCGACGCAGCCAAGTAGCACCTGTAACCTCACCCGTGTCTCACCCCTGGAGCTTTCCCGAGATTTCTCCACGTGAAATAAAAAGGAAAGATAAATAGACAGATCCTAAAAAACGCGCTCTTCCCTCGCTTGCTTGCAATTCCAGAGATCCTCTCTCTCGTCTCGTCCCGTCTCGGCCGACACGACCGACAGAAGAAGAACAACACAAGTTTTGACCTGCGCAGAGAGGGCCAACGTGCTACTCTAAATCTATGACGAAGCAAGGGAAAGGAAATCCCCGACCGACGCAATGGGCTCAGTTCGATCGGAAGCAAGGAGGCAGACGAAGGAGCAGCTTGCCGACCTCGCGACCCTATGTGAGTGTTCGAGGTCTCTATTTTTGTTTTTACTGTGACAATCTCTCTAATGTTAAGTGATAGAGCCTGTGTGTGTAAGTGTAAGTGAGCGTGTGTGTGCGCGAGCGCGTGAGATGAGAGTGCAAGTGTGAGTGTCCGTCAAATGGAATCGAGGGCCAGAAGCCAGCCAGCCTGCTCGTCCGGTGGTAGCAACAGCAGCCCAGCCAAGCCTGCAGAAGAAGCAGCAGCAGATGGACCACCAGCACCAACGACTGAACGAAGCACAGGCACCAGCATCAGCAATCAACCCACTCTCAGCACACGATCAAGACAACCCGATAGCACCATGGGATAAGCTGGCACTCACTCGGTCAAGAAGGCAGGCTCCTGATCAAAAAATAAGATCCTCCTGCTCCTCCACTCCACCTACACTATCCCCCCCACACCACCACACCGATTTCCCTCCCCGCCTCCCTCCCCTCCCTCACTCGCTCCTCCTTCTCACTGTCTCCCTCCTCACACTACAGTCCCGTCCTCTCTCCCTCTCTCCCCCGCCACCCCCTCCCCCCTCCCCCTACCTTCCTTCACTCCCTCACTCGCAGACAACACATCCCCCTCCCTCTGCCCCCTCCTGATCGTGCTCACTTCCTCCTCCCCCTCCTCCTCCTCCTCCTCCAGCCTTACCTCACCTTCCCCCAAGCCCCTCTGACCTGACCTGACCTGACCTGACTCGACCCGACCCGACCCCCACGCTCCCTCCCACTGGGCTATCGACCTCGGTAACTCGAATTTGACTCGAGCCCCGGTCTGCCATCGGCCTCGCTAGCTAGCGATGGGGTCGGGGGTTGGGCCGGAACGGGAGGTGGTCCCCGTCACCGAACCCACGCTCGCCCTCCCTGCCTCCATCCCTCCTTTCTCTCCGTCTCTGTCTCTTACCGATGCTTCTTCGACGTCTCCTTCCTCGTCCTCCGCGGCGCTCGACGACTTGTTCACCAGGGGAGCTTGCTTGCAGTGCCTTGCACTCCTTCCCTACAGGGGGGGGGGGAGGGATGCTGCGTTCGTCTCACCGAACTGGACCGACGCAGCCGGCGTCCCTCGCTTTCCGTTGACTGTTGGCCATTTACGTCCTTGACCCGAGCAACGTTCAACCCTAACCAGGGGTTGGAGGATCCGGGGAGTCGGCCGTCGATTCTGCACATCCAGGGCGCTAGATTCTCACCCGGCTGCGAGGACGGCAGCGTACTGTAACGGGAAGTACCGGCCGAAGACCGGCTGGAGTGCCGGGAGGACGCTGACCTGGGGTTCGTTCGAATTACCGCCCGCCCGCCCACCCCGTGGTTCCGCTTTAACCCGCGCGGTTGTAGATCTGGACGCTGGACAGATATTCTCGCGGATATTAAAAAGATAAGATGATAGTGGGAGGGGTGCTTTGTCGCTTGCGATGCCAATCTGGCCGCTGGCCCCTGTCGTGAATTGTGTGTCCGTGCCTCGAGTTCGACCCCAGTTTCTGTACTGTCACAGCGCCTCTCGCTCTCTTGCATTTCGCCGGGATCAGCTTTCCCATCCCCTCCTCTCTGCTTGTCTACCTGTCTCTTCCTACGATGTTGGAAAAAGAGTTCACACTCCGGGGCGTCTACATCACCTGTCAGGCACATGAATGACCGGGATCAATATCCAAGAGACGAACAAGAAGGACCCACATACTTCTCCTCTAACCACTCCTTCCTGCTAGATACATGCTCAAGTTGAACAGATATGTCCTCTCAATATGTTGATAAGGATTTTCTACAGTTCATCACGTTTTGTGTTTGACGATTTGTGATGTTCGTCCGTGAGAATGCGAGAAGCTCTTCTTTTAACTTCTCCCGTTCTCACAGACCAACAGCAGAAAACGAATATTGCGTAACGAACGAAGTAAAAGGCGCGGAAAGAAAAATTGAGAAGAGACGAAGAAAAACACTTATACCACCATGCAAGTCCATGAGCGAAATTTTGACGCTAGTGGAGGGCATACTGACCATCGGTTTTATCTATATATGGAAACTAAAAAGGATAGCGATCCCGATGGGGCAGCGCCGACTTGTTGGGATCGTCTCAAGTTGGTACTATGTATGGTCGAGAAAATTCTGTGTAGTTTGTATGTCAGAGAACTGAAATACAAAGGAACTGTATTCCTCCCTTGCTAATATAGTAAACGGTTGCGGATCGTCGATATGATGATCAGCTATGAGATTGAAGAGATTGTATAGATTAATTCACTTCTGAATGTATCCCTTTGAAACTTTAGTGAAACTTTGATGGAATGATTAAAGTTGATAGAAATGCAAATTGATTCTTTGAAGTTCCTAGAGCCATCAACCCAACATCATCACAATGGGCATATAAGACAATTTTCTTAGAATCACAATGGTGACAATTTACATCACTCTCCAACAAGCCATCTGCAAGCCATCAATTGCACTCATAAGAATGAACAAGAGTCTGCCCAACAGAGAAGCCTTTTCAAAGGTCCTACTTTCATCGTAGCGTCGAAAGGAATTTGTGGAGTGCTCCTCAAGAAAGGACTTCCTTTTCTCCAAACTTATGATAGCCAAAATTTCTTACAATTCAAGGCTGAAGGGTCGTTTTAAGAAAAAACGGCCCTTTAGCTTCGAAATGTAAGAAATTGCGAATATGGGATGCTAGCCGGCTAACCATGGCACTTCAAGTTCTGTGAATCTTCAAGGCCCAAGTGGCGGAAACTACTCACATACACGAGGGAAGAAAGATGGAAAAAAAAAAGAGGAGCTTATGTGAGCGTGTGTAACGCCTGCAAGACAGACCAACTTAAACCATCATGCGTGGACGTAACAGGATGACAGTCCAAGTTGGAGTTGCGTTGGCCTGCATGGAAACCGAAGGTTGAGTGGGGAACACCTCAAAAGCTCGAATTCTCTACCTTACCTCGATGCACTGCTAACGATAGCAGGCCTATCTGTCAAAAGAAAACCATCTAGAAACTCGGTGACTCACGATGTCAGATCCCCATAAAAGTCTCGACATCATGCTAATCCAAACCATCCTCTTCCCCGGTCCCCAAACCCCGGCGCAAAACTCCCAGCACTGTCCAAGAGATGCCGGCATAGAAGAATCAATTGTGCACCACCAAGAATCACTCCGGCCACAGGTCCATCCATTTACCGCCCTCCACAGTCGCGCCTTCTTCGAGCTCCGAAGCCCGCCCTCCCCCTATACTAGACAGCTTCCAGGCTGCATGTAAACCCCGATCGATGCCTAATACGCTGATGCATGATTAGGTGTGCGCTAAGTATCGGGCCTCGAGGACGAGTCGGTTCCGCACACCAGCGACGCAGCGCTGGCGTTTGAACCCTCCCCGCGCCTCGAAAGGCGCGGGACGTTAGAACGCTCATGTCTCCTTGCACACATGCAGTATGACATGCTTTCTCCGTCGACCGACCGACGACCACCGGAGCCGATGATGTCCGGTCGCCCGTCGCCCGTTGCCGGCCTTCAATCATTCATGCTCATCTCCAGTCCAGCGCTCCGACGGCCCCAGTCGGTTACTGGAATCATTCTCTACCCAACCCGACCCGACCTGACCCAACCAAACCCAAATCCCCTCGACGAGAAATCATTCATTCCTTCGTATACAGCCAAGTCTTGAGATTACAGGGCCCCAGGATTCCAGTGATACCCATAGCCTTGTACATGTATTTGACGATTTTCTCACGTATTCTCCGGACAATTATCAATCGGCGCACGCTGGTATATGCGTCCGCATCGTTTCATTTTTGTACATGTGTGACTTGATCGTATCTCGATCGTTCGAATACTTGTATCCCAGTACAATACGCGAGTCTTCCTCACGCACCTAGTATTTCCAGATTTAATGTTTTTCCTTCAGTACATGCCATTGGCCCCATTTGATCTGTGCATTATGCCGAAGTCAATGATGGACAGACATACCCTTTTACCATTTCTCAAGATAAGAATTATTCATTTTCAAGATTTGACACGATTCGAGACAGGGCTTTAGTATATCCGAAATATAAGGCAGAATATTGAAGAGTGGAAAATTGATAGATGAAAAAGACCGAAATTATCCAGGAGTTCGGGTGATCATGAGAAAGAATCATTCAAGGTGAGTTAGTATACTGTCCATGTGAGATTCTGGACACAACAGTACTATTTGCTGAAGGATAATCTGCAAACTATATCATAAAGAGACGTGAAAAGAATAGAAAAAAGCTCGTATAAAGTCACAATCCTCCTGAAAGATGCCAAGCTCGGGTCTAATTGGCATGCAAATCATATATGATAATGAATCACCATTTTAAACTCATGAAATACCAAAGAGAACGACTTATTCGTGCTTTGCTCTTTGAAAAGGTCAATGACGAAGGTTACTTGAGGTTATATCATGGCTTTGTGATTCCGAACACATATTATGGTCAATGTCTTTTGAAACATTAATGTTCTCGAGATGATGACTGGACTCACAAGTCAACAAAATCAAAAGAGAGTGGTTCTATAACCAATGTAAAATATGGTATCGAGATGATGACTGGACTCAGAAGTCAACAAAATGAAAAAGGACCGTTTCTATATCCAGTAGTTTACTACTATTCAGGTTGAATATGGAATATGCTATTGGAACATAGATGATCTTGCAATAGGGTCAAAATTTACCCATCTAGATCATCATGCAGTAGACTTCAGAAAAAAGTAAGGGCATACTTTGATTTTGCACATGAAGGGATGACAGAAACCTCCCTTAAATTAAGTATATTTCTATTAATTTCGAAAGCAGACCTCTCGCATTAGCATAAATATGTTGACATTTCACAAGAAAAGTAATATATCTCTAGCCCCACTTATGGCACAAAAATGCTCAGCGCGGAAAAAGTCGATCGAAGTGCTACCCTGACAACAACAAATGCGAACATAGTGAGGTGGTAATCACCGTTCACCTCGTTGATCAACATTTAAAAAACATGAAGAATTATCGAAGATATTTCTCCGATCCAAGACATGTTCCGCTGATGGAAACTTGAAATATTTAATATGATATGCATCTAATTATGTGTTTTTGGTATAGGCTAACAATGCATATAAAGTTCAACTACACTTACATTCATTCATGGAGATAATCTGTTTTATATACTAAGTTTTCAACACATTTCAAAACTGAAGGGATTAGAAGTTGCAAGGGTGTAGATGCATGTATTACACATTAGAAATATAAATTTACTGAGAACCTATTTGTAAAATATTTGAAATAATTTATACACGAATTTCCTAATCATGATTATTAAATGTGAATAAATTTCAATAACATATATCATAATAACCTTGAGAGCTGAATAATGACTTTGTATGGTCCAATATTTATCCGATTAAAAACGTGTGGAACATAATAATTTATTTGACATCAGATATCTGA